TATACAGTCAAATTTTGATCAGTTGACTGAAAAATTCATCTGTCAATCCTATGCATTTGAGATCTTTTGAACTTGTTGAATGGGTCAAGATAATGCCATTGAGTCCTTGAGTCCATATGTGAGCTAGGTTTGCCATTGGTTAGGTCAAACAGTCAAAAATTGCCTTTGTGCAGTCAAAACCCTAAAAATGACCATTTTGCCCTTTTGGTGATCTGATCAAATTTCTTGTGGAATTGTGATCCAAACTTGACCAAATAGTTCATGTGAGTTCATAATGTTGATGTGGGTCAAAATTCATGAGGTTTGACTATCAATTGACCACAATTGACTTTTTCCCCAATACAACTGATTTCTAGGTCAACTGTCCAATTGACTGGGCAAAGATAGGAATCAGGGCTTGAAACTTGGTATGGATAAACTTGTGAGTCCAACATGAAGCATGAAAGTCACTTTGGGCATTTTAGGTCAAAACATCCTTGTGCAAACTCAAACCCTAATTTGGATCAACAGTGCAAGGAGGGGCCTTGAGCAGAGCAAACCCTAACTTGATCTTGAGCTCCAAGAGACTTGTGGTGAGAAAATGTTGATGAAATGAGAGGGCAAATTTTGGGGTACAACAGCTACCAACCCCGGATATGTATCTTTGATACTTTTTTCTTATGTATCCGCTACCGACTCCGGATATGTATCTTTGATACCTTTTATGTACGTCTACTACTGAGTTCAGGAATATATCTTTTGATATCTTTCTTGCAGGTGTTTGTTACTAACTCCCAATAGATGTTCCTTGATAAACAGGTTCTTCTTCTGTGTTTCTAACCCTGGTTAAACATACGTTTATCCCTGATAACCCCTTTAACCCAAAAAGCAAAAAGAAAATAGAAAATACAGAAAACCAAAAATATAATGTATTCCTGACTGGCTTCAGAGTGGAAATTTTCAGGTTCTTTAAGTATTTAATCTTCTTCCACCTTAAGGGTTCGAAAGGCTGGCGCCAATCTCACCTTCAGGTTGAAGACGATTAAATAGGGGCAGTTGTTGCACCCCAAAATTTACCCTCCTAATTGTCCTGCTATCTGGCTTAGGCTTTTGCATTCATATCTTTCCATTAGGTCATTTGCATTAACATAGAATGCATTTGCATTGTAAATAGAGCACCTTAGGTTCAAAATAATTAGTAGTTATGAGGCTAGGGTGTATAGTTGATTTGAGGTGTATATGTTGAATAAGATGGATTATTCTATTTCTTCTTGGTGTAAAAGGCTGTGGAATTAGAGTTTGATTCATGCTAGTATTGGAAGAAAAGGATTCATGTGGATTTCTTCACAAGTTAACATTGGACTTATGGTTTCAATTAAGTTTGAGGTGCATTAATCAAGCATGTAAAGTGGAGGATCCATCCATGGTTGATCTCCTAAAATTCAAGCTGCCAAGGCAAAATAATACAACATTTCAAATGATATTCAAGACATTTCATCTTGTTGTCCCACAATATTACCCATGGAGTTATCTAACATTGTCAGATACATAATCAATGGTCTTCCTTTAACATAAGGGAGCAAGATAGGAGGTTCAAGCAAATATTCTTTAATACTTTCAAATGCCCTTTGGCAGTCATCTGTCGACACACAACCTTGATCTTTCTTTAACAACTTAAAGATCAGTTCATATGTTGCAGTCATGTGGGAAATGAATCTGGAAATATAATACAAACGCCCGAGGAACCCTCTGACTTGCTTTTCAGTTCTTGGCGCTAGAATTTCTTGAATTGCTTTGACCATATGAGGGTCAACTTCAATCCCTCTCTGACTAACAATGAAACCCAACAATTTCCCTGATCAAATACCGAAGGTACATTTATTTGGATTCAGGTGGAGACGATACTTCCTTAAATGCTGAAACTACTTCAACAAATCTTCTACATGCCCTTCTTCAGTTTTGGATTTAGCAATCATATCATAAACATATACCTCAATTTCCTTATGCATCATATCATGGAATAGGGTTTTCATAGCCCTCTGGTACGTTGCATCAGCATTCTTCAAACCAAAGGGCATCACTCTGTAACAGAATGTTCCCCCGGGGTGTGATAAACGTTGTTTTTCCATGTCCTCAAGATCCATCCTTATTTGATTATACCAGGATAATTCCTCCATGAACGAGAAAACTTTGAATTTTGTTGTGCTATCCACTAACATATCAATGTGTGGTAATGGAAAATCATCTTTTAGACTAGCTTTATTTAGATCTCTGTAATCTACACACAAGAGAACTTTTTCGTCTTTCTTCGGTACTGGGACAATATTGGAAATCCACTGAGGGTACACTGATGTCACAAGAAAACTGGCATTAATCTGTGTTGCACCCCAAATTTTGCCCTCCTAATTGTCTTGCTATCTGGCTTAGGCTTTTGCATTCATATCTTTTCATTAGGACATTTGCATTAATATAGCATGCATTTGCGTTGTAAATAGAGCACATGAGGTTCAAAAAAAATCAGTAGTTTTGAGGCTAGGGTGTAGAGTTGATTTCAGGTGTATATGTTGAATAAGACGGATTATTCTGTTTCTTCTTGGTGTACAAGGTTGTGGAATTAGAGTTTGATTCAAGCTAGTATTGGAAGAAAAGGATTCATGTGGATTTCTTCACAAGTTAACATTGGACTTATGGTTTCAATTAAGTTAGAGGTGCATTAATCAAGCATGTAAAGTGGAGGATCCATTCATGGTTGATCTCCTGAAATTCAAGATGCCAAGGCAAAATAATACAACATTTCAAATGATATTCAAGACATGAGATCATTTTCAATTTCAAGTAGAAGATTCGAGTTCCAATTGATTCTATTCAAGATTTCTAGCTAAGCTCTTCATCCAACTTCAATTAAAAAGTCCCATTAACCATTACAAAACCTCTTCATTCTATATTCAATCCAATTCTATCACAAATTACATTGCAATTTCCATCCATTACAAAATTACAAAATCAATCCAAATATGTTGAATTGATAAATGTTCATTCATTACACATATCAAATACCATCCAAAATTCTTTACAAAATACATCAAAATACATTCATATGATCCTAAGTTTCAAGCTAGTGATCAATGTCCAAGCTGCTTCAAGCAATGTACAAATTCTCCAAGCTTCCAAGAATATACATGATCAAGCCTTACATCCTGAATTCTTGTATCAAGACCAAAGCTTCGTGAATATCATAAAAAATTTCCCTGCATAAATAAGACTAATAAAAGAGCAAGCAGAATCGACTCTCTAGGAATAAAACCCAGCACATCGCTGTTAATTGGCAGAGGAAAATAAAAATTCAGTAAAACCTGCATACACTAAACCAGCATGGATCAGTTAGCATTAAACAATATCCATATCATAAAAACTCAGGAAGGCGTACAAAGTTATAAGGGAAAATGGTGGAAAAGAAAATTTGAGCAGAATTGTTATCAATTCAATATTTGAAAAAAACAAAAAATCAAGAATATAGAAAAGCAGTGAGGAATTAGGTTAGAAGAATAAAAATTATAACTCATCGAGCTTCATTGGGATTCAATCCTAATCGTCCATTTTCTAAAATATTGCTAAATTTCAAGAGCTCGGATTAATTCCCTTGTAACAAACTTTTGCAGTCTAACATAATTGTATATAACTGAGGTTCTAACAGTAAATCAGGAAAAAAGAACAAAACTCATAGTTTTCCAGCTCACCAACTGACATAACAGAACTAAAACCCTTTTCCATTCAGCCCTCAAACTAACTTCTAACTAACATATTCCCAACCAACTTCTAACTGATTCAAAACCAATTGTAAATAATCCTAACTGATCAACAGAAACAAAAAGAAACATCTAACCAACTTCAGAAAATTCTCAACAGAATTCTGCAAAAACATAATTCAACGTAACTAATTTCCACCCAACTCTCTACTTCATCTCCAAAACCAGCAGTCCAACTAACGGCCTAACAACCTAGTATTAATTTCTAACTGATTTTTGAAACACCTCTAACCAACCCTTAATCCTTTAACCAACTCTCTAAGATATAACAACTGGGATCACTCCTCACAAAACATATACAAACATGACTCTAACATAAAGTGGAAAGGTAGGGAGTTCCAATCTGTAACAGAATTGAGAGAAGGGGTAACAGAATTGAAACAAACTGTAACAGAATTCCAGCTCATCATCCTATCCTAACTAACTCTAACAGAAAGAAGGGAGAAAGGAACGGGTATATAATAGAGGTTACCTTCAATCAAAAGGGGAGGTTCGGGAATCCTTCTCTCTGAATTAGAACGCTGTTTTCACTCTTCATTTTCTCAGAATCCTTCATCATCTTCACCATTCTTCAATCATTCAAAAAAAAATTCACAAAAGAAAACTCTCATCTTCTCTCTGCACTCTCTTGATTCACTATCTCATAACTTCAACAATCTTCACCTTCTCGGACAATCTTCAACATCATTCTCACTGCTACAACCTGCAACAACCAGAACACCAACGATTCCACACCGAATTTTAAATATCAACGACAATTTGCAACACTGCAAGAATCAGATTCATCAATTCAACAGGTAGGAAACTCACCATTCTTCTCTATATTCTCTCGTTTCTTTAATTGCATTTCCTTTTCATCGATTCACCATTTTGTATCAATCTTTCTCCCTGCATCAATCTCCATCCTGTGCACTCTTCACCTTCGAACACAACACATTCATAACCATTCTCTTCCCGTTAAACCCTCACCAATTCATCTTCCTCACACCTTCAATCTCTCGCCCCTGCAAGCACCTTCTTACTCTCAATCTCACGCACAACAACGCCCAAGAAACTCACACGCAACTCAACAACGACGACATAAAACACATAGAAAAGAAGAAAGCAAATAATAAGAAGAAGAAGAGTGAAAGAAGAATTCACATGTCTGGAGTAATCGAAAGTGCATACCTGAAGTCGAGGAATTTCCCTGATCATCATATTCCTCGGCTTATACTATGAACGATGTTGGTAAGCTTCAGAATCCTTCGAATATTCCATCTCCTTGTCATCTTCTTTACATTTTATGGTAGATGGTAGCTCGTAAAGGAGGATCTCGGTGGTTCCCTCTGTTAATTTATCATCACCGTCGCAAAATCCAAGCTCATAATCCCTATGGTCTTTGGAAGAAAGCTTTGATCCCGTGGATTGAAAAGAGTTAGAGAAATCGAGTGGAAGCTTAATGATCAGGAGATGAAATAAGGTATGGTATGTGTTCTTGACATGGCGATTAAGGAAGTTTTTGTGGTGGTGATGGCGACGACGAAGTCGCCGGAAATCGCCTTACTCTGAGATAAATAAAGAATTGGAACGGTCGTGAATCGGAGAAGATGATGTTTCGGGGTACCAGCGTCGTTCGAGAGAAGGAATTGGGAGTGTGTTTGTGTTTCACAAAGAAGCTGGAGAGCCATAACCAATTCAACCCTAATTTTCTCCAAAACGACAGTGTATCATCCCTTTCCTTCAATTTTTTTATTGTTATGGAAACAAAATGCTGAAAGTTGTTGAGGAATTGGGAGTGCGGACCTTGAGATTTTTGTGGGTTGGACCAATTTCTATTCATGAGGCCCATTGTACGAGTTTTTGGAATGCTGAAGCTTTGGCACAAAAAAAAACACCATGGATCACACTGCTAGGCCTCAACGCTGGTTTGCTTCACCATGGACTATTTTCAGATTACTACTATACCCCTGGATTTTGGCTTGCACCCCTGAATTCTTTCTTTTAATATTTTCTTTTTGATAGTTGTCTAGTTTTGATTGATTTTTTGCTTTACATGATAAAAAAAATTTAATAAAAAAACTTGTAGATTTTGTTTATTTTAATTTTAGGAAATTACTTTCCGATTATTCGAAATTTGTAATTCACTTTTGCTTGTTGAGATTTAAGTCTTATGCAGGTTTATCGTGCGATATACGGATGCGCTTGAGATTTCGATTGTGATTTATTTTCACATCGATGATGCTTCGACGCTTATTCTAATCATTCGATTTCTGACTCTTTTCCCTGTTGGTGCTAGTAGCTCGCGAAATTCTCTGGGTTTCTTTGCTATTTGCTTTGATCTACAGACTAGTACTTGTTTGGTATATTTTCTTTCTACTTTCTCTCTGGATTTATCACTTCCTAAAGATCATGTGAAGTAGGAAGCACGAAATAAAGAGCGTACACTCGAAGTCGCTGTTTAAAGACCTGTAGCAGGCATTCCGCACTTCATTTGCTATATGTGTTGTACTTGTTTTTGTGATTGTTGATCGATGAGTCACTCAATTTAGAAATTGAGATCACGACCTCGCTCTCAGTGCATGCTCCCTATAGGACTTTATCACTTTCCTTTATTTCTTGTTGATCGATGAGTCACTCAATTTAGAAATTGAGATCACGACTTCGCTCTCATTGCATGTTCCCTATAGGATAATTTTGTTAAACCATGCATGCTAACATCAGGTAGATGTTTCCCTTTCATTCATCCTGGATTTAGGGCTACCATTGTATGATAACATTAGGTTTAGAGATAGGCTAGTCTCCCTTTGACTTTTCTTTCCCCTTTTTGCATATGCATTTAAAACAAAAACTTCTTTTTCTTACAAACTTCAAATTACTTAAAAAAATTACTGACGAGAATCATATCTTTGTTAAGTATGACAGATGATAAGAGGGTTCTTTCTCGACCTTATTGTTCTCTTATTCTAAGCTTTAGTGTGGTTCAAGTCTCAAAGACTTATTTCATGAATAAGTAGATAAATGGCTAATATCTCTCTCATGAGATTAACTAGTTGTTATCCACAAGCAAAAACACCAACAAACACAAACTCCTTTTGCCTATGGGCTTTTCTTTCAAAACTTATTCAAAAGAGCATGTTAATTCACTTCTGTGTTGACGTGTAAGTCTCTAAAGGTCGAGTTGCGGCAGAAGGCGAAATTAATATTGTTCATAAAAAATACAAACCAACAAAAACATATGAGCCGAACTACGGCTGCTCTAATTCCTTAAAAGGGATACGTAGGCATTAGGGTAGGGCCCGAGCGAGCACAATTTTTATTTTCCCTACATTCTTTTCTCCTTTTTTTTGCATGCATTCTCCCTTTAGCAGTAATAAACAATAAGCATAGATTAAACAACCCATAAGATAGATAACAAGAGTGGATATCATAGAGTACTACGGGCATGTGGGGTGCTAATACCTTACCCTCGCGTAACAGACTCTCTTACCCGATCTCTCGGTCGCTAGACCGTGACTTCTCCCTTCTCAGGTTTTCTCGATGTTTACCTTTCCCTCCATGAGGGAAAAAAGACGTTCGATGGCGACTTCATTGGTTGATGATTTTCAGCCAGTTGTTTTAATCTGCTTTAGAACTTCCTCTTTGATCTTCACTGCTATATCAGGGTGAGTTATTTGCAACTTCTGTTTGATTGGCTGACACTATGGCTTCAAAGGCAAGCGGTGCTCTACAATATCTGTATCTAGACCAGGCATATCTTGGTAAGACCAAGCAAAAATATCCACATACTCTTTCACCATCTCAATCAGCCTGCTTTTTGCATCAGGATGCATCAATGCTCCAATATTGACTTCCTTCAGATCTTCTTCTGAACCCAAATTGATTACTTCCAATGGCTCTTTATATGGCTAAATGGAATTTTCTTCGCGCTCAAGAAACCGTGAGACCTCCTATGGAATCTCATCATAGTATTCTTCTTCAGCCCCATACACAGGACATTCAAAGTTAGGAGAGGGTGCAGGGTCATTGTATTCAACGGGTTTTTAAATTAATCTGCACATATGATTTATGATTGCTTTTAGAAACTGACACATATAACAAGTGATAATACATATTGAATTTCAGTTATCATTTATTTTGAAAGGTTTTTTATGATTACCATTTTCCAAGAAAAATCAAAAAATAAAGACACAATTTGAGAAACAAAGGCAACTTTTATTATTGATTTTAAAAATCAAAGCAAACGATGAGCCCATACAATATCAATACTTTCACCTTGGGCATAGTGGAAGCTTTTCAAAAAGATTAACAAAACAAATTACTTTGAAACATGTATGCAAGAGGGAACATCAATGGTGATCCAGTTCCGAACCTTAACTCTGTGTGTCACATGATTTGGCATTTCTGGCTCTGCTTCATCTTCCACAATGGCATTAATCCCAGAAACAGTTGGATGAAGATAACCTCCGCTATGAAATATGTCTTGATCCTTGCCTGCAACAGTCTTCGGCTTCATGCTCTCACCTTTATCATTCTTCATAGAGAACCCCAAGCCAGCTTTATTCTTGTTCACAGGTGGATTAACAATTTGTCCCCATACGTTGATATGGCCATTACGCACAACCTATTGCGCATCCTTAAACGAAGCCATAGAGTTCTCATTTCCTCTTATATTATCAATGGGTAAAGCTTGGAACTGGGTTCCAACAGCAGCTTCATCCACCTCCACAATGCTGAAAGAGGAAAAATCAGATATCAATAATGCATGTTCTCCATTTATAATTACCACTTTTCCTTCACGTACAAACTTCAGCTTCTGGTGTAAAGTCGAACTGACAGCCCCTACCTCATGTATCCAAGGTCGTCCCAGCAAGAAGCTATAAGCGGGTACAATATCCATGACTTGGAAAGTAATCTGAAACAAATGTGGGCCTATATGAATAGGAAAGTCCACTTCACCAATAACAGATTTCCTTGATCCATTAAACGCTTTCACAATAATGCCACTTATGCGCATGGGTGTTCCTTGATATTTCAACTTCATAAGTGTGCTCCTCGGTATAACGTTCAATACATATCCATTATCAATAAACATATTGGATAATGAGTCATTTTTGCAGTTCATAGAGATGTGGAGGGCCAGGTTGTGATTCCTTCCTTCATCGGGCAGTTCATCATCGTAGAAACTCAGGTTATTACATGATGTAATATTCCCTACTACACTGCTGAATTGGTCTACAGGCATGTCACTCTCCATGAAAGCTTGGTCCATTACCCTCATCAAAGATTCTCTGTGAGCAGAGGAATTCATCAATAAAGCTAAGATATATATTTTTGAAGGAGTTTGCAGTAGTTGATCTACAATTCTATAGTCACTCATCTTGATTATCTTCAAAATATCATCCACCTCTTTTTCATGCGTAGCTCCACTAGATTCCCCCACTACATTCTTGGGTTCAACATTTTCAACAATTTTCTTACCAGTACTAACATCTCCACGAACAACTAGTGCAAATACACGACCATTGCGGGTCACTCTGCTAGTCTCAGCGATGTTTCCAACATTAGGCATTGGCTGGATAGGAACTTCCACACGATCCTCTAAGATTGTAGCATTATATTTGTAGGGTACAACCTTATCTGACTTGTAGGGGACAGGACCCAGCAAACTAATCACCAATGGAGTAATAGCTAGCTTGCTATGATATTCAACTTCAAAATGGGTGGGTGCACCAAACAAAGGCACAATAACATTTACTCCCTCTTCAACATATTCAGTCATTACAAAGTCATCTCTAGAAAACATATCTTCATCTGAGGAGAAGAACTCATATGCATAGGTATACTCATCATCTGACTCTTCTTCAGTCAAACAAACCTCAATCACATCGACTTCATGGTAATCATCCCTTTGACCTACAACCTTGATAGTTCCATTATCTAAAAATAACTGAACACCTTTCTGAACAATTGAACATCCTCGGGAGTCCCGACAACAAATTCAGCAAGATCCATACTGATGTTCTACCTGACCAGTCTTGTGGCAAAAAATAGCATGCAATTGTACAAGATCCTCATTCAGATATTCCACATCAAAGATTCTGAACTCTCCAGGACATGCATAAACCATGTTTACTTCCTCTTCATACTCTGCCCTAGGCCAGATTATGTGGATGAGGCCCTCGTCCATCATCTCCTACAAATCAGCCTTTATCTTGTCACAACCATGTATATCTGTACTGTAAATAGCACAACCGGCATGGTCATGTGCATAGTAGCTAAATTCATAGAGGTCTGCAAGAATTTTCACCAAATCTCCTCTAACCAAATTAATATCAAAAATTCGGAAGTCACCTGGACAATCGGGCACTATGTTCACAGCATTTGCTCATTCGTGCTTTGGCAGAGGATTATCTTTCACATTAGGGCCAACATCCTTGAAAGACAAGATACCAGACTTCACCAATTTATGTACTTCAGTTTTCAAAGGATAACAATTCTCAACATTGTACCCTGGTGCTCCTTGATGAAAAGCACGTGTTTGGTCTGCCTTTTAATACCAAGGCAATGGTGATGGTACAGCGGGAGGTGGTCTGGTCTGAACCAACTTTTTCTAAATTAACGCTGGGAATAATTCTTATAGCTCATAGGGATAGGATCATAACTCTCCCTTCTCTGATTATACCCTTGA